TAGTCTGTTGGTAGTTTCTGAGACGTTTCTGATGTATGGCAGTGTTATCCTTTTCATAGCTTGTCTTGGTTGTTTTGTAATAGGTTGAGAGGTCAGTCACTTTTTGATAAAGTTGTACGGATATCCATTTTGTTGGATGATGTTGTATAGGTGGTCTGTTTCTTTTTTCTGCTGTTCTGGGTTGCTGCAATATGTTTGTGCTTGTTTGAATAATGTTCTTACACAGCTCCTCTTGTGGGAGGTTGGGTTGTTACTTTGGTAATGGAGTACTTGATTAGTGTAGGTTGTGAAAGACTGGTAACTTTAATCTAATTTAGATTTACATTTAATTATAATTAAATGTAAATCTAAATTAGATTAAACTTACACAGCTCCTCTTGTGGGAGGTTGGGTTGTTACTTTGGTAATGGAGTACTTGATTAGTGTAGGTTGTGAAAGACTGGTAACTGGCACAAAGTTACTTAATGAATTTTCATGTCTGAGTGTTGACTCAAGCCTGAATTATAAGTATATAGAGCTATTTGGTTACAACAGAGTCAGACCCATCTGAGCTCAGTATAGTTTACTCAGATTTATAACAATGCAAGAGTTTCAGAGATCTCCCTTCACTTGCTACCTGATGTCCTTTAATAAGAGATGTCAGAGACTGAAGCTGTATATATCACCATTCTACTAGAGCAAAGGAACCTATTATTGGAAACAGGAAGCTGAACTTGATGGGTCCAATACAGTAGGCTTATTTTTGTGAGCTAGAGAACAACTAGAATTTTGGTGCAGGAGTTCTAACTTTTACTGGGCTAAAGCCACACTTGACCTTTAAGTAGTGTGTTGGGACCCACAGAACAATTAAATTTGATTTAATCTAATTTAGATTTACATTTAATTATAATTAAATTCAGTTAACAGTCACATATTTAATAATTTCCCACTTCTATTGCATTAAGAATTACAATTTTGTAATAACCATTAGAGGTCTCTGATGGCCTTGCCCAAGGCATCTGAGGACTACTTATGACCCTCGAGCCTCCAGTTATGCACCTCTAGTGTACAATCTTCTTCAACATCCATATCCACTTCCCTACCTTGATCTGAGTGATTTTTAAACAGTGGCTGATTGACTAAGGTGTGATTGGCTGGGTATGTATAACGCTAAGCCGTAAACCATGATTTAAAACCCACTTTGGATGAGTCCACATAGCATGCTAAGCCAAAACCAAATAAACCACTGACATCATGATTCAGCTGTATGAACTGGGTCTCAGTCTAAAGTTGGAGACAGCTCTGATTAAGTATTGCATTTTTGAGTTTGCATCTCCAAATAAATGACATCTAATACAACTGCCTTCTTCAGCCTGGTTCCTTCCAGATGTGCTAGACTGCTGTTCCCCAAAAGTTGAAGTCTAACACATTTGGAAAACCCCAGATTTGGTAGAGAATGATGTAGCGACCAGGGGGCAAGCAACTCTTGCAGCTAGGGTCTACAGTTTTTAATTATTGTTTTGACACTTTGACACACCCACCCACCCATTTTTTTTTTAACTCCTAAAGTTGTATTGACCTGATTGGGGCCAGAATGGATTTCTTCTGCTTAATTTCCTGCCAAACAGTCACTGTTCTACTGTAATTTTTGGCATCATTTTGAGGATTTAGAGGTCAAAAAAGAGAGACCCACCCCTGATGTAATGCCTCCTCCGCTGAAATCTGACTTTTCCTTCCCTCCATCACAAGACTCTAACCACGTATACTTCAGGATTTGTATGTTGCTTTTTTCACTCCTTGCCTCATGCATCTGCTTTCTGTAAGATCTTTATCAGACAAAGAGATCTGAAAACCTCAAAAACTTGCCCATAGCTATACTTGATTGGTCCCAATTAAAAGTATTGCCCGATTGTGGATTTTCAGTTTCTTTCCTCGGCTGGGCTTGACGATGTGCTTCTCCTTCTCATCCCCCACCATTCCTCTCCCTGAACTTCCAGCCAGGCTGCCAAGTGATTTTGGACATCACAGCTTGAAAATGGACTGATCCACTGAATGCTGGGTGGAAAAGCCATTTGAAGAAGAAGAATGTGGGATGGGGAAGGCTCAAATGGGGGAACATGTGTTTGCAGTTAACTGGGACCGCAGGCCAGAAAATAAATAGCATATTGCAAAGAAAAGCGCAGCGGTGGCATTGTCCAAGACAGAGATGCAAAGAACAAAATCAGGATCTGTTCAGCTCCACAAAATGATATACTCAGTAGAGGACTGAATTCTCCAAATGTCTGAAAGCTATTCCCTCTCTGACAGCAACTTTAATCTCAAATAAATAATCAGGAATGCAAATTGTTTTTTTGAAACCTAAAAGTCAGCATCTCTTGGATTCTTACATTGCACTTAAACTTTAATGGGGTTTGTTCGATTTGGGGTTTAATGTGCCTCTGAACCTACCAAATGCGACTAATTGAAAAAACAATTTTAAAGAAACCATCGGTTAGCAAAATGGCTGAACCAGGTCAGTGAAATTTCCTAGGAGTCAGAGAGAAGAACTGGTTTTTTCATCTATCCAAAGTGCCGGTGGCTAGCTACTCAATATCTGTCAGAAACTACCAGGGACACTGGGCATCTGGAATTTTGCAGCCATGATTACTGAACTAAAGTCATCATATGTTCTTCCAGGGTTTTTGTCCTAGGATAGCATTTTCCATCCTGGTTTTCTCCAGATGTGTTAGACTACAGTGATCAGAATTCCAATCCAGTATGGCCAATGGAGTTGTATTCCACCATATCTGAGGCTCTTCCACATGGGGGGGGGGGGGGCAATCCCAATGGTAGGCAAGGTCATATTGACCATATGACCCCATAACTGGATCTTTACCTTTGTGATACTTCCTGAATTGTCTGCATATCTGGTAGCCTCTCCACTGAGGACATTCAGTTGCAACGAGAACTGTGAGGAAGCGGATTGGTGACAGTGTCAGAATTGGGGGAGGGGGGCTTTCATTTTTTTCTGATGCCCAGTATTTGCTCTGACACTTATAACCTTTCCCAAGCAGCAGATGACAAAGAAGGGGTAAACGTCTCTTATCGGAAATTTGAACTGACCTGTTGTGTAGGGATTTTGAGCTTAGCCAGAGGACCATCCAAGTGGCCCACCCCTCACTGAAGTCTACCTAGTGACTTTTGAGTGATCCGAGGGTTACATTATGGACTTCCTAGCAATTCGCCCATTATCCCATGTTCTTGTTGTTTATCTTCTGCTATGCAGCTGTCAGCATGCCCAAGGAAATGCTTTCCATGCCCCACCCTACTTCCACCCCATTCTTTCAATTTCAGGCTTAATTTAAGTAAGAGAAGTGTCAGAAACTGGTATTCCTTTCCTTTCACTTGGGAGACCTAGAAATATGAAATGTGCTACAACTGCAAGAACAAGAAAGCAATTTTTCCCTGTAATGGGGTAGGCTTGAACCAGATCAACTCAACGGGACAACACTGGAAAGAAATAGGGGAGAATCGCTGTTTTCCTGTAAGGGCAGTACCTTCTTTTCTACATGGACTGTGCTTATGACTTGCTGCAGATTGTTCCATGCTTGGCACCTGATTTCTCTTAAATATTGGGACTAGATTTGGACTGCTTCCAGCGTCTGGCCTGCAGATGCTATCCAGCCAGTTTTGTGAGGAAGATGACAACTCCCAAGACATGAATGCTGCACAATTGGCCTGTGAACTCCCCTGAAGCCCATCCAGACAAGTGAGTGACATAAAGCCATAAAGTGGTTGGTTCAGTCTTGGTTTAGCAGTCTTTTCTGTTTGCAAATCATGGTTTCTGCCACAGTGTGCTGTGCAGACTCAGCCATCGTAATTTATCATTTAAATAATACGTATGTAGTCTTAAGGAAAAGCACAAATATTTTAAAGATCCACGTTCCATGTTCCTTTCCAGAATGATGTTTGTACAGATGAAGATAATATTTAAAGAAAACATGGTTCAAGGCTAAGAAATTGAAATACGCTTTGGATAATTCTTTGCTGTTGTGGTAATTTTTCAGCCAAAGGAAATAGCCATGCTTTTAAATACTAGTGATCTAAAACAAGATGCATGATAGTTTTCTAGTGATTTGCGATAGCAAATCTGGCAATTAACAACAGAAATTGAGTATCTTTTAAATGTTGCCTTGATGTACATCCCTTACAAAAATGGACCATGAACCAACAGATACAAAGAAAGCCACTATCGATATAGGTGCTGGGTTGGGGCAAGGAGTCTTCAGTTCCAATCCATCCTCGCCATGGCAGCACATGAAAAACCTTTGGGCCAGTCACTCTCTCGGCCCAACCCTACCATACAGGGTTGTTGTTATGGGGAGAAATAGGAGAAAGGACCAGTAGGTATGACACCTTGAGCTCCTGAATCAAAAGTGGTATATAAATCTAATAAATTGTCCAATATTGTTTGGTAACTTTTGTGATTTCTTCAAACATTGTTGAGCGAAAGGGATGTGTAATTGGCTATTGGCATCAAAGATAATAAAGAACTAATTTGGTGTAGGGGTTAAGGCATCAGGCTAGAAACCGGGAGATTGTGAGTTCTAGTCCCACCTTAGGCACGAAGCCAGCTGCGTGACTTTGGGCCAGTCATTCTCTCTCAGCCCTAGGAAGGAGGCAGTGGCAAACTACTTCTGACAAACCTTGCCAAGAAAACTGCAGAGATTAGTCCACCCAGTCACCAGGCATCAAAAGCTTACTCAAAGGCGTGCACACACACACACACACACAAGTATTAATTTGCTTACAATATCATCAAAACAATCTAGAAAGGAACAATTTATGTGATTAATTTTAGTAGACTATAGCGCCGTTGTGTGGATTATCTTCATGGTATTTGCTGAAATGTACTGAAATTGATTTAAAATAAATTCTATGTCACAGAGAGTTCATCGAGAGATTTCATCAGGTTCAAACCTCAAATCCTCCTCCTGCAATTTTTGTAACTTTCAAAAGAACTTACTGTGCTTAATATTTTTAATATGTTTTTAAATGAAGTCTGTGTGCACGGTTCTTCGAATGTTCTTAAAGGTTATAATATTCTAGTAAGTTTATGAAGGCATAACTGAACTTAGCTGAAACAGTCAGAACTTGCTGCCATACTATTTGCAAAACATATTCAACAGTCATGGTTTCTAGCAATGATTACATTTCTAATCCTATAAAATCCTGTCTTCTTTCTCCTGGAATTGAATGTATTTTTATGCTTAAAAAGGTGGTGACTGAGAAATGGGGACCCCAGTTGGTTTCTCTATGGTGTGTCTTAGTTTATTATGTAAACCCAACCAGCTGTTGTTTATTCAACCAGCCATGGTGAAACAAATACTGTGTAAATCCAGTCATTGTCCATGTATAGGTGGGTGCATGTGGCTTTCCACTGATTTCTTTTGTTTTAGACCCCAAAACCATGTATAGAAGTACCACTCTGCATTAATATATTTGAAACCAGTCCTAAGAAATTATTTTGGAATGTCAGAAATATGCCACTCAGAAGTAAATTCTTATCCTGTTAGCTCAATTTTGTCATCTTTACCCTGGCTAAAACCAAATTTGGTAAAAAGCTGTATGCATCTCTCAGAATAAATAAATAAATATCTGGCAAATCCTGCATGTTAACTTTAAAAGGATTTGGGATTTTAAAACGGCTAAAAGTGCCAAGCTATACGTGTGATCTACTAGCTAAGGAGTGATGGTTTAAGCATAAGTTCACGGTCAGCAGAATGCGAGATATGTGCTGTCATGAGAGATGCAGTACGTCCATGTGATTGGCAAGGCCGGGCCAGCAGAACGGAGGAGCACGTTTCAGCTACATCTTATGCGCTTCCCACTCACAGGCGCAACTGCACTGAATTGTACAACTTTATTCCAGCTCCAATTCTAGCTGAAAGATTATCTCTTCCACTGACATCCACTGGAAAGGAGAAACAGTCCCCACATCAACAGTGGCCCTGCCCATATAACTCTCTACCCCATCACAGCAAGCTCCGCCAATTTAAAAACTTTAAAAGGGCAACCACAACAGGGATGATAATGTGTGGGGCCTGGCACAATTTCTCTCTGTCTTCCAGTCCTGATACGTGTGGACCACACAAATGGTAAGGGATGCTGGTGAAGAAGAACAGGAAAGTGGAACTTTTGCACAACGTCAGTACGTGGCAACATTAAATTTTCTTCAAGCACAGGGAAACGGAAGCACGTTGTTCCTTCTTATTTTACCTGTACAGAATTGCAATAGGCTACTGACCCGTCCAGATATTCGCTCCAACAATTGGGGATGAACAAATAAACTGCCCCACACAATTAGCAAGCGTGCAAGAGGACAACCATACTTCAAAATGTGATGGCTGTATGCATCTCTTTGTTTCCCCATCACTCCTTCTACCATATCTAATAAAATCAAATATTGTTCCAGCATTCATTTTCTACTGCCTCACTGTGGGGATAAAGGAACCAGGGAGTTGCTATTTCATGTCCTCCTTCACTGGGGTTTTTCCTTATAGGAACAAAGAAGTGATGGTGGGAAGACTAAGAATAGTTACAATGGAAGCTCAAATGTCATTTGAGACTCCCTAAAATTCTATGAATAAAGGGGTGGAGTGAAGGGAGGCACCTACAAAGGAGACACTTACAGCATTCCTACCAGCTGATATATTCTGCATTGTAAAAGGCCAGGCAATGTTCTGCCATGATGTCTGCTGCTGACCAAAAATTCATGAATGCTTTGGTCGCGCAAGATCATTGCCCAGAGCATGGAAAGGAAACTTTTGCTGCACACACTGGAGGGGCCACTGCAACCCCCAAGGAGGAGGGTATATGGATGTGGACACTCCTTCCCCGTTCCACGTAGTAATCAGCCACGTGATGAAGCTGAGGTGTGAATACTAGCTTTGCATTCAGGTAGAACCACCCATCCTTCTCCCTTCCGGCCAAGCATTTATGGAGCATTCAGGTTTGAAGAGGAAGGCTATATTTTCGTTACAGTTGTGAACAAACCAGAAATAAGCTAATCAGTGAGGAAAGTAATCATGGCTTGTTTTCTCTACTTTTTTTTAGCACCTCTTGTCCTTATAATATGGTAGAGTTTTTTTTGCACGGCTCAAAAACATAGCAGGAAGAAGACATACTACGTACTAAGCAAGTATCTCTAAGACACCACGTACTAAGCCATTAACTTGAAGCACAGTTTCATTCAGTAAGCCTGCAGCAAGTGATGGTTTTAACTCTGCTTTCTTGCCAGATAGGGCTATTGGATCTGGGCTTTAAAGAAACACAGACAACACACTCTTAGCTGCCATCTAATGCTTACCTGGACTTTGCAGCCCAAATCTGGTAGCTTAATACTGAACCAAAACCCAACAAGTGATATAGCTTACCAAGATGAATGAACCTAATATATACATTCTAGCTGCTGTCCATGATGGGTTGTTCAATATGCATCTCCCCTTGTTCTCCACAGGCAACTTCATACAGGGTCTATTGTATATCCCCTTCCATGTGGATTATGTCCAGGGGAGATGCTCTCTCCACAGGACTCTTAAATTCCTCCTACTGCGGGCTCCTGAATCCCAGCAAAGTCCACGGCAATTCCTGTGTTCACATGACACATCAAGCCACAGTTTAACCAATCGCTCTGCTGGTTAATGTGTTGTCCAAACCTAGCTTCTGTGGTTAGATGATGGTACTGTGTGTTGTGCAAACCCAGAAAAACATAGTTTATTAAATTAACCCAGTTTTCAGGCTTTACACAAACCCTATACTTGACGTTTGGTTCATTGCATCCAGAATCTGTTAAACGGGTGGTGATGTCTGTAAAATTGAGATATTATGATGTATCATGCCCCCTTTTACTTTTTTTCTTAAGCAAAAAAACTCAAGCATTGGAACATTTCCTCCAAGAACAATTAATGTTGCTTCTTCTTTCAATTGTCCTTTTTTCCAGTTCACAATAACGTTTTTTAAATTAAGATGAGAAGGCTTTGGAAACAGTGGCCCTTCAGATGCTTTGACCTCTCAGCAGCCCCCCATCAATATGATTAATGATGCTGGTCACTAGAATGAGAGATGCTAGGTGGGAGATGGAGATCCAGAGGTTTTCTAATGCAGTTCAGCACTCTTGTTTAAAGTGGCACCCTTGAGGTGGAACCCCACGATATCTACAAAGTGCCATGTTGGGAAGTGGAAGGCCTACTGTATTCCAACCGTGGGAATTTAGTGATCCATCCTGAAGTATCTCTCAGAGTCACAGATATTCCAGAGAAACTCATTAATTTATATTGGAAGATTCAACTAAGGTTTCTTTTTCCCCTTAGTGGGCATCATTTTACATTTAATTACACTGAAGTGCATTTGCCATATTTTTGCCCATTCCTGCATTTTGGAGATATCTTTTCTGAGCTCTGCCCAGCCCCCATTTTGTTTTTAATGTCTCTGAATAATATGATATCATCAGCAGATTACAGTCTTCTCCGCCAGGGCATCCAAAATCTACATCTGTTGAACTGCTATTTGCCAGCAGCTGTTAAAGACCCAGCAGTCCTGCCACAAAGTCTATATTTGCCTTTCTCAGCTGTGTATTTCTCAGTTGAAATGGCTCTGAATAATTCTGCATATTCAGAGATTTTGTCCTACCAAAGTTACTCCTCATCCAGGCTCCATTATTGGGGTAGAAAGGATGGCTGTTTCTTCCATTCTTTATTCCTTATAGCCTCTATGACTACATTCAACTCCCCTCCTACCACTGGGATCCAGCACTGCGATTTAATTTCATTTTGGCTCCAACTGTTTTTTCCACAAGCCAAAAAAAAAAACCCTGGAAAATACAGAAGAGGGGAGGGAAGGCAGTTCCCAGCTGGAGCTGGCAATTGCTGGGCTGAAAAGGACGGCTCAGGGTTTGTTCTAAGCAAATGGCTCCTCTCTCTTGGCTGCACTGCCTTCAATTTTCCATCCAACCAAGGACAGAATGGGAAAGAGAATAAAAAACTGGTCAAAATTGCCAGATAGAGGCTGTCTCCTTACTTCCCACAGCAGGGTGGAGGCAAAGCAAATTCTAGGAACTGACTTGACAGCTTTCCAAAATCAGCATCTACCCAAATTTTCTTCGATGGTTCAGAATGGAGGAACTTGGCACCCCAACATCCATGACCCTTAGAATCTCTCCGTTCCAAGTCATTCAAAGTTAGTTAAAGTTTAGGACTTAAGTTTTCCTTTGGTTTCAGATCACTTGAATCATTACTAATTTCTTCCCTGGTCATTAGGGAAAAATAAAGGCTCCCAAATTGGCTTACAAATATCAGTTGTGGGATATTCCCTGCCCTTTGATGAATAATCAAGAGGACATATAATACACGAAGTAAAGGAATGGGGAGGGAAGACGAGAAAAGTAGACTCAGGTACTGTTTCTTACAGTTTCAAGTAGAAACATTAATTCTGGCAGCTTTCCCCATCAATGTATAGTCAGCACTTACTAGGTCTCCCTAAATGAAAATAAAATAAAATATTTTACACAACCAGATCCTGCTTTAAAAAAAAACAAAAACCCAACCTCTCCAAATCCTCCCCAACATATGGCGTTTCCTATCCACTCATCCTGTTGGAATTTTATTGAAAAGCAAGTCCAAACAATATCTTCCATGTAACCATGGGTGCCAGGGAGGGGGGGGGTCAAAAAAGTCAAGATGGCAGCCACCAGTATGTGATCGAAGCCCCACCCTTTTTTTATATGCAGGCATCTCTGCATATATGCCTCCAATGTTTTCCTACTGGTTCTTTCATTAAAAAAAACAACAACAACAGAAAATCCATTCATTTCTTTACATAGTGTTTTTTAACCAGTAGTGCTAAGGATTGTCCCTTGGGAAGCACCCCAAATCACCCCCAGATCCAGACTGCATCAACCCATCAAGGGGTTCCACAGATTAATCTCTCCAAACACCACAATCATTTTATGATTCCCTTTGCTAACAGCAGAGGTCTCAGCCCTCTGAAGTCCCGGGCATTACAGCTACCACGTGTAGCCATCCTCCCTGCCCCCCCTTGCAAGTACCAGCCATGTCCCCACAAACAATATTCTTGCTTTCTAAACCCCCATGCTGCATTCTCTCTTAGCTTTGCCCACCTCATCAGGTTGTGGTGAGGATAAAATGGGGAGGAGGGAGAACCACAGAAGCCACCCACCCATCTCTGGGGGAAAGGCAGATAAAAATTTAAGAGAGGAAATAAAACAGACACAATATAAAAATAATTAAAATAAACCTGAGCTTTGGACTGCATCCCCCATCTGGTTCACAGGTGCAGATATCCCCTTAATCTTCCGATCTCTCTCAAAAAAATGTTCATAGGTCCCAAAAGCCTTTCCCAAACAGGCCTGTTGTCAACATGGACAGGATTGGGAACAATATTTGGGGAACAAGGACTAATAGCATCTCTTCCGTGACATGAGATAGTTAGGTCTCTCCATTTGCGCCCTATTTTACAGTCATCTGCCCTAGACCCCTTTTTCCCCATTTACTCTGCATAACAATCCCAGGCATGTCAGTGCACCCTAACTTTCCCCTGCCGGGGGTCCTTCAGATGTGCTGGATGACAATTCCCATCATCCCGGGTCCACTGGATAGGATGGGGGTTACAATCCAACTTATCTGGAGGGGAGCAGTTTGGGGAAGGCTGGACACCCCCACCCACTCTCCTGGTGTGCCCTGAGCTTCCATTTTTTGGGTCCACCCCTTTCCTCTCCCCCCACCCCTCTGCAAATGCCCATTGAGCAATTTGGCTTCTGGCTGGAAAACCTACCTTCTGGTAGGGCCCCCATCCTGCCTGTGCTCGTCCTCCGCTCACTCCGTTCCAGAGCAACAGATGGTGGTGGCTCGGTACCAGTGAGATGGCGGAGGGGAGAGAAAACTGGGGCAGGTGCCAGGGAGGACTTAGCTGAGCCGCTGTCCCCCCACCCGTCCCTCTCTCCCACTCGCCTTTCCTTGCCGCTCAGTTCTCCATCCGTGCCTGCCACCCTCACTAATTCATAGCACCTCCTTCTCGTCAAGTGTCATCCTCCCCCTTTATCTCTCCCCCTCCCCACTTATTAATCCTGACTATTTCTCTTTTAATATTTAAGCATGTCTGTAGCCTTTCTTAAATCAGCCACCAGTCGGCAAATGCCGCTTTTCTTCTTTTTTTATCCTTACAAGGTCTTGTGATTAATGGACCTTCTGTATTGTTCGCCCCCTTCCTCTTTCAAACACAGATTTATCTTCCTACCCGAACTTATTTTATCTTGAAAATTTATCCTGGTGCCTCATTTCTATGATTCATCTCTTCAATCAGTCATTCGATGGGAGCTACCTGATAGCTAAAATTCTCAATTTAAAGATCTTTTTAAAACCCTAGCAGCAGCCACAAACACAACTGAAAAGAGCAGGGAATACTAAAATATTAAAACAAGCACCAAAACCGTAAAAAATATGGCAATAAAAACCGCTGTAAAATACAACTTTAAGTAAAGATAATCTCAGCAGTATATTTAATTAGAAGTAACCATCACTGAGTCAATGGAATATACCTTCCATCTTCAGAAAGAATGATCTTTAAAAATTCTCATACATTAAAGGTTTACGGAACCGTGGCAGCTCAGATGATTATAAATTGACTTTCTATTTGTTTATCAGTCAATCATCTATTTATCTTTAAAATGTTTCATCATTCTTTTTTATTGTTGTTCTAATCAAAAATCTTATGCTGATTATACTTTGGCATTTAACCCCCAAACGTGCATATAATCCTGCACACGCAGATAGTTACACCAAACTATCATCCGCTTCAGTTTAAAATACCGCTAAATTGGGATTCACTGGCTAGTGGCCAGTCGTTTTTGATCTAATCGATGTTTTAATTCTAGCTTCCTTCTCCCTATACCTACAGTACTCGGTAAAGGTTCTGCTCTTGCAGAATTACAAACAGCAATAATTCTTTTTACAGTATAAAGCACACCATGTTCCACGGACAAATGGTTGTAGTCTGCATTATTTGGGGACAACAATATCTTTACTTAACTGATCCTAATTTTTACAACATTATGAGACAAGATGTGCAATTATTTCCATTTTCCTAAGTGGAGATCTGATGCAGTTGTCCACTTCATGGACAATGGAAGAAAGAGGTGAACCCAGCACGCTCTTCACCACCACATTAGCTCTCTTCTACTATGCCTCTCTTCACACAACACACTCATCCTTTAATGCGTGCTCCTAACTCCTGTATTTCTCTTTGCTTTTTCTCCCTCTCCCCCACAGCTCCGTCTTTCTTTCCATAGTTCTGGGGTGGCCTCTCTAGCGCATTTCTTCCCCGATTGTCCTGGTTATGCTCATTCTTTCTCCCATGCATCACTTGAACTCACCTTTCCCCTCTTCCTTGTTCTCTCCTGCTTTCTCTTTCATGCTGTTGCAATGTCCAGTCTTCCAGTGCTTTCCAAACTTGGAAGAAGGGTTGTTGCTGGTACAAGATGGATTTAGGCCTGGAAAATTCCTCCCTGCTGGGGAATGTCAAACTTCAGGACGGGAAAGGAGTTGTTGGTGGGGGGGAGGGGGGAGAACTAGTTAACCCTTTGCTACCAAGCCATTGATGCTAGCTCTGGGCATTACTCAGTCCTGTAGCCGGGGACATGCTAAGAGGAAGCATAGTTACCGTTCCTATTCAGTGTCCCAGACAGGCATAGCATTGATCTCTACGTGCTGTCCCAGCAAATTCTTGGTCCCTCCACGCCCCGACAGCTGCCACAGCTGCACCCCTGGATCTTTTCCAAAACCTGGGGGAGATCAGCCCTTCTATTCCAGGAGAACGACAGGGCATCCCTAAGGGAGCATATCCCGGTTTTGTTTTTTCTAAATTCCCTAAGACAGCAGGATATATGAGTTTCTTATTCTGCAATTGATTCTTGCTCAGGGATACTAGAAATGAAAATCACATTGAAATTCACATGCAGTATTTAGGGGAAGGGGGCAGAGTGCCCAAAGTATAAAGCTCCACCCTGAAAGCCACAAATAACTACAATGGAAAAACGTACCAGCGGAGTAACTGATCTGGAATACGCTGGGGCTGTCAGTAAAACTGGCTGGTCTCCTTTTCGGCATATCGAATTCTAGTTGCACTGTCTGAAACATGTGCATATTCCATAGGTATGTGTGTTTATTGCAAGAATTAAAGGAACATGGGGACATCAGGATGTATAATGAGCGGCTGTGCAAGTAGTGTGTCATAATGGGAAAGAGAAACAATCATTTCAAAGTCTTGGGGTTTTTCAATCCTTACTACAGGAATTCTTATTCACTGCCCTGCCACTGGCAACCACCGATCATTTTCCCCCCTCCCTGACTATAAGAACTAGGCACTTACTCTTTTTAAACCAACAAAAGTTCAGATTTCAAACTCCAAACGAAGCTAGTCCATTCCATTAGTGTCTCCGTGCATTCTTACCAATGACTTTTGCAGGTAAAGCAGCGACTTTCTGCAGCAGCTGTTGCAACCCACTCCTGCAAGTGGGAATTGCTACGTTAGGAAGCGCAGTCAGAAATTAAAAGCTTTCTTTGTTCTGTTGCTTCTCCCTGGACACGGCTAGAAATGTCCTTACATTTGCTTCCACACCCATAGCCTAGCTCCAGGGTCAGGAATTCACAAACCATCTATTTTGGGGGCATATCTGATTTCAATAGCTCGTGTTGCCATTTTGAGGGCATGAACTGCCCAGAGTATGTGCTTGTTTAAAGACCACAGAAAAAAATGTCTGAGTCTCCTTTGGTCACTTGAAAGAGCATGCTAGGGATTTTCAAAAAACAAGCAGCAAGCCAAGCCAAAGTTTTTCTTATATTGTCAAAGAGAAGAAGAGACTTGTGAAAGACAAAATATATTTCTTTCAGTTTTCAGTTGTTTTGTTTTTAAAAATAGGGGGTATAATTCTCATGTTGCAAAACATTCTGCAGCTTTGATAGAGCTAATAAAAGTGCCTTGTTGGGGTTTTTTCCCTCCAGCTGCAAGGGTGATAATATCATTTTTTGTTTTACATCTCACTAACTTTCTGAAATTGGGTGTGTTCTCCTTGGTACACATTCCAGATGCAAGTCACTTTCAGTGCGCCATTGGCCAAATGTACACGTTTTCTGGCTTTAAAATAATGTTGAATCAGCACCATTGTACTCGAGTCATTCCTATTACAGTACTTAATGTCACTCATTTCTACTTTGTCTGAAAACATCCCTCAGGATTTTGACTTGCAATAATTCTGTTGTAGAGTTTTCTGTTGCTTAAAGCTGTACCGTTACCATCTAATCTAATTAGCTGATATTGACATTTCCTAGCATTTGTGATTTTGCCAGCTATTTGGGCACGTTAATACATGCATTTTTTTCTGTTCACTATCGCAAAAGGTTATCCATCCCAAGAGAGTCAAAGATTCAGATTTCCCTAAAATAGTTTTGTTTCCAAATATGTGCGTGATTGATGAAGGATCCTAACACTTCTTTTGTGGTGACTGTAGGAAGAATTGGTACTGTAGTTATAGATATAGCAACTACTTGTCTTATTCATTCCAACTCTGACAGAATGAAGCATTTTAATAACAATAAAATCATTATGGTTAGGAAAGACGATTTAATATAGCATTTTGCCTCCGTAGTGGCCAACCATATTCACCTGGGAAACATAGTATTCTTCTCGATCTTTCTGGAAGATAATAGTTAATAGTTCCTCTCACAATAAATCTTTCTGTGTGCATCTTCAAGTCACTTTTGACTCCAGGTGACTGCCTGGACAAGTCCATGCAGTTTTCTTGGTGACCACATTTTCAGAAGCAGTTTGCCATTGCCTTGTTCCCAGGGCTAAGAGAGCGTGACTGGCCCAAAGTCATGGAGTTGGCTTTTGTGCCTAAGACAGAGTCTCCCACTTTCTAGCCTATGGCTTTAACCACTACACTAAAATGGCTCTCTTAAATCTTAATTGGTAATAAGTATTTCCTCCACAAATTTGAAGAATTCACCTTTAAAGCTATCTAGGGTAGTGACCTTATAATTTGCATTTTGTGCCAGTAAAGAAATTTGCCCTCAGATTCATCACACACCCTGGAAGTGGGGGCGGGGGGGAGATAGTAAATAGAGATGTTGCATTACAAGAGGTTAGGGAGAAAATCTCGACATTGCCAGTATTTTAATCATTGCCAACCAAAACACTGTAAAACTCAAAAGTCTGCATACTCTTACCTGGTTTAGCTATGGATTTTGTTTCCCCCCACCCCTGGTAGATGAATATGGCTGTTCAAATTTTTTAATATATTAAAAGAATATTTTTGTATGGAGCCCTGTGTTCTGTTATAGATGTGGGATAAAACATCATCTATGTTCACTTTTTCCAGAATATATCATGTATAATTGTATAAACCAATGGATCTCTCTTTTTGGTTTTGAAGCCCCAGGAATTCATGATTAATCTTGATTATGGAGATAGGATTTATGATGGCTCAAAGTTTATTACATGTCACAAAATTATATAACACCCAGTTTCTTATATATCAATAAATACACAATATGGATGCATAATAATCCTGAGAATGTTGCATCTAAGCAAACTGGGGGGGACTATTAAAACAAATCATAAAACAGATTTCTGATGTAGGATAAGGATATTTATTCTAGGATGCAAAGCTTTTCAGGGGCCAGTTACTTGTTTTCATAGGAAACAATGAGATTCCTGCTGTCACTTTATTTAAGGTATTAAAGAACACATTTTAAGGAGAACACCCTCATCAAGACGGCTTCTATAAGTTACAACCTTCAGACGCTGTATCAAATCATTAATTCTAAATCCCAATAAACATACATTGATCACAGTCTTAAATGCAAAAGTAGACCTAGAGGATGTAATTAAAGTCCATTCCGATAGGGCTGCATTTTTTTCCTTTTTATTTTTAGAAGAAAGCAATCAGTAATAGGTTTTTTTTAACTTAAAACCTCTAAAGGTTGCTGCCTTTTTGGATGCAACTTGTTCCTTTGCACGTGCACTTCCCCATTTTACATCGCCAAGGGAATTAAGCGGGCTCACAGCCCATTTCCTCCTTGCCTTTTTGCTGGTCTATGACCGTAATAGAGATTGGATTAAATTCCTCTTTGCCTCCCTTCACGCACGCGCGCATTGTTAAGGCAGGCCGAAGGGCGGGGACTAAGGCTGCGCGCGCGACCACTCTTTGGTGGTGCGCATGCGTAAAGCGGTGGGCGTGCAAGAGTGCGGTCCGGAAAGCGAGGCGGGGCGAAAGTATAAAAGGGCCACGTGCGCCGGTGTTCTTTCTGTTTCAAATGGCGGCGAGCACCAGGTGGGTATTTCCAGCGGTTGGCTAAGGGAATGGAGCTGCAGCGGGGGGTGGAGGAGGATTTCTGGGATTATTCTTTGCTGCTGTGATACTTTCAGCAGCGGTGCTTTTTTATTTTTTAAACAACGAGAAGACGAAAGCTGGACCTGTTGATTATTTTAAAAAAATCAGGGAAGGGAAAAAAGGAATCCTTAACAAAGGAGGATTGGAATAAGAAATAGGGTTATTGTATAGCCGGAGGATATGACCCTTATAGGAAGTTCTTTGGAGGATATGTATCTATATGTGTAAGTATTTTGAAATAAAGGGAATAGATTGCCAAAAGGGCGTTGGAGAAAGACAACCTGTCCTGTAAAAACATTAAGACGGTAGGTTTAAAAGAGGGGGGATGAAATGAGGGAAAAATGATGTGAGGTATGGGAAAGTGTGCCTTAAGAGCATACACTATTGTTTGGGACATTTAAGTAGCTGGTTAAATTTTTACCCGTCTGTTGGGTGAACCCAGCCTTGGGGTTAGATTATGGTTTGATGTGGCATTTAAACACACAAAATTAGGTTATTACCACGGTCAAGATAAAGCATTAGAAAAAGCATACCACAGAGTGATGTGCTCTTCATCAAATTCAAGAAATACTCAGCTGAGTAGTACTACTTCCAGCTGGTTCCATGCAGATTGTGTCACTACTAAGAAGAAATTGAGGGCTTTATACTTAGCACACCGAAAGTCTAATTTACCCCCTCAAGTTATTATGAATTGAAGCAAAACTGATATTACTATGCTAGAAGAAACAAAGGAAGGAGACTCCTGGTCATTATTAGTAAATGCTTATCTGTGCAAAGATTCTAAAATCTTTTGGAATTTAATTTCTAGGGCTTTCACTGCTCCCTCAGTCCCAGATTGCTGTAAACCTCTTACTTGGTAACTGTTTTGGGAAAAGCAACTTCTTTGGGGCTTACTAGTGGGGAGATAGTAGAAAGAGATGAGCTGTGTGACAGGCAATATACTTCTTGCCTCTGGCTCAGTGACTAATGCTTATGAATTATATTCTGGGCTGTGCCTGTTTATGCAGGGAGAACGGGAGGCCTCGGGCTCTTTGCTAGAACTGTGGAGTAATGGAGAGTGATCTGCTAAATAGAGGGTCCTTGCCAGATTGGGATGTGCTTAACTGCTGGGTTGGGGAGGAAAGTAAGTCATAAAACCTCTAGACTAGGCAGCTGGGAATTGTATTAAGCATCTTTTCCTCTTCCCTTTGGAGGTAGAAGTAAGTGGAGGAGGTGGGGTGGGAGTATTGCTGTGTATAGATGAGAGTGGCAACAGGGTTCCTCCAATGATGTTAGCACTGGGCACAGACTACTATGATGATGACAGTGCCCCCCTTGCCTTTGACATCTTGGGGGACTGAGGAACAGAATCCTGATCTGCCTGTTGGAAAATGTATGAGTGAAGAGGAAATGCTTGCTGGTGGAGAGTGTGATGGTAGGGAAATGCTAGCAACAACTAAGCTAACTAAAGAGTGGGTTTCTCCCTCTTTGTACACTCACAAAGAGTGTGCATGAGGGCGGCAACATACATGCCCATTTAATGGATGGGTCTTCCTGGTATAATGGGAAAGGCCAAGCAGCAGTAGAAACAAAAATACTGCCTTGTCCCCCAAATAATTTAATTGTGAGTGTTCTGAGTGGTATATATAATGAGAACATGTCAGAAAGATTTTTTTGCTTTAATATAACTTCATGAAAGTGACTTACATATTTGCCCCCACCTGTGTCTCCTTTAGATTTTGCAGATGCTATGGCACCAGTTACTGAAAACACAACTAACAGCAAACCGCAGGCAGATGCAAGCAGACAGATGTTTCTGCAAGTGGAAGACATGAGAGCGTTCTGTACGTGGAGTGGTGGGGTAAAGGGCCAGCAAGGGAGTTGGGGCTGAATCGTGGCATTGTTGCCCAAAATGAAGCTTTCAGAGGGAAAAAGCACACAGAACAGGGGAGGAAGATGAGTCTGCACTTTGCTTCCTCGGATGGACTGGCTCGTTGGTTCCTTTCTTTCCCCGGTACCCCTTCTCCACTTGACCTTGCTTCTGAGAGACTGAGGACCTTGTAGTGGAAGGTGAGGATGTAACATTAAAATGCAAAAAGGAAGAAACATCAGATTTTTTCCCCCCATGCTTTGTTTCTCTCTTTTGCCCCTTAGATTAGGGTGCTGAATTTTATAATCACTAACGAAAGCTTTAGATGCTGAATTTTGTAACCATTTATTTCTCAGTGGGCAAAAAACCTATCAATTCCCCCGGGAGATGTGTGAGTGGACATGAAGGTAAACAGATGCATCCTGGGGACAACATTGAGTAGATCACCTTATTGCTGTGAATCTGTTCTTCTGTTCCGCTTAGAGCGTGGTATAGTTTGAGAACTGGAATTTAAATAAAACACATTCTTAGTGATTTGTAACTTGGGTATCTTTACTCTTCATAGGTGAATATGAAATGATGCACAACCCCAACATTTATGCAGTGTGGCCTACTAGGTCCCTTAAAAGGCTGTTGGTAAGTAATTAGATTCCGTGAAGGTGGTTAGTAAGTTTCACTTGATGATCTGCCACAGTTTGGTGCCTATCAAATACATGGGAATTGAAAGCCAGTTTATCTGGGGTCACTTGATTGGGGATGGTTGTCCAAGCTTTTAGGTGTTGTGATGCTAATGTATTTTGTGTTGCTTGCTTCATTCAGCCTGGGCCAAATTGGCTGTCCACTTTTCAGTGGGAGCACAGAAGATGTCTAAGTGGAGGACCTTCTTCACCAAGAAGAAATGCAACTCAGAACTTTTCCTGGATCCACTGTTTGGGGGGGGGGGGGGATTG